TTAATTCATACATTTTTGTCTGTGATATTCATTCTGTGAGCATATTTTTATGATATCAAAGAAGGCTTTTTTCGCTTCATGTTTGTATTCATTGATTCATATTAAAATAATTATCTGCATGAAGACTTCACAACATTGATTACAGTTACTTTTTCCTCTCTTTTATGAGTGGTGTGTTCAAGCCAAAAAATATTCTTTGTTTTATTTATTTCAGAAACAAACAAACAAAAAAAAACCACACAGAGAAAGAATGACAAAAGTGAAAGAAAAAGAGATTGGAGAGATAGATCTATTCACTGGTTCACTTTTGAAATATTCCCAACAGCCAAAGTTGGATCATGAGGTCAAAGACTAGAATATTTAACTCTACATCTCCCATGTGGTAGCAGGGACCCAAGCAGTTGAATCAGTATCTTTCACCTTTCAGAGCATTTCATCAGGAAGCTAAATAAGAAGTGGTGGAGCCCAGACTCAAACCAACATTCCAATATGAATTGTAGGTACCAGACCCAGTGCAATGGCCTAGTGACTAAAGTTCTTGCCTTGAACGCACCAGAATAACATATGGGCGCCAGTTCTAATGCCAGCAGCTCCATTCTCCACTTCCCATCCAGCTCCCTGCTTGTGGCCTGCGAAAACAATAAAGGATGGCTCAACGCTATGGGGCCCTGCACCCACGTGGGAAACCTGGAGGAAAGTTCCTGGCTCCTGGCTTCAGATTGGCACAGCTCCGGCCATTGAGACCATTTGGGGAGTGAACCATTAGATGGAAGATCATCCTCTCTGTCCCTCCTCCTCTCTGTATATCTGATTTTGCAATGAAAATAAAATAGATCTTTTTAAAAAATTAAATGAGTGTAGGTACCCAAAGTGGCAGTTTACCTGAATTTGCTACAATGCCTCCTTCAGGGCCAACCTTGGTTGATAACAATATTTCTCCATTTGGGTTTGTCAAACATTTTTTAATGTAAGATTCCCACTGTGAACTCCCATAGCATGATCATACTCAGTGGTGTCATTTTCAGAGTAACACACCAAGGTGCATCAAGACCAGCTGTCCCTCTTTGATGCTATTAAGGTTGATTTGCCTGATCAAGATTTTATTTGGTTCCCCCTTCTGGAGTTACTAACTTTTCTCTTGCACATGGCAAGGAATCTAGTGAACACTTCAAGATCTGCTACCAAGCTGCTACTTGACAACAGTCTCCTGTACATTAACAACCTGTTCTTTTTTTCTGAAACATTTTTATATGATTGTTTAAAACGAAGATTTTTCCAATTTTACAACTCATGTTAACATTCACTCTTTGATGATTTTCTGTTAGGAAAAGCCCTCATCCCCCATTTCCTTTCTGCACGCTCTCTTTCTCTATCTTTCTCTCGCTCGCTCGCTCACTCTACTTACCGACATATTTACTAGTCATCAGAATCTAACTGTTGTCTTCCTTTTCAAGAGCTCAAAATGTATATCAGTCTCCTTCATGGCACAGATATCTCTTGCTTTCCTTTTGTTGGCATTTTATATCTTCGGAAAGTATTTTGTTATGTTTTACTCTGCTCTTTTTACTCAGATGAATAAATATTATCCACACCTACGTTTTAAAAAGAGAATTAACTTAATAACTTTTGTTTTCAATGAAGTTCTAGAGAGTGGAGAAAATGTAATACTTGACAAATAATCCTGATTTTCACATTGACCATTAAAAAACTGCATTTAAAGATGACACCTAACCTATCCATTTGGGAAGAAATGAAAAACTTCATTTTAGAAGGTCATTGTCCAACAAAACACAGGGTGTGGCAGGAGGCCACCCTCCCCTCTCTGCCACCCCATGAAGAGTAAGTATGTTCTCTGCAGAGTTCCCACTGAGAGTCTTCCCCCGAGATGTGATAACGTTTATGAAATTATGTTCTCATTTATCTGGTCTCTGGGCCAGGGGACTACACAATGCAGTGTGTTGGGTTGTTATCTCAATTATTACACAACTAATTAATTAATGTGAGCAAAGGTCTTTGGTATTTCCACAGATGAAGGATTTTAAAAAGTATTCAGTACTTTTGTGTGCTGTTTCTTGATTCTTTAAGTAAAAGCTTAATTAGTGACTTCGGGAAGGAAATGAAAGGTAATCAAGCATACTACGCTTTTGAAGAACTAGTCTTTCTAAAGCAAAAATGTCTCCACCATAAGAGTCATTATGTTTCTTGCATTATTGAACTCTCAGAACAATGAATTTACTGAAATGTAGCATGTTGCTCTTATATCTGCCAATACAAATGTCATTTTGAAGTTTTGGAAACATATTTCTTTGCCCAAAAAAGAAATCAAAGTCCAATAAAATATTTTACCTTACACTGAAATGGTGATATTTGGCAACTTCTAACTTTATGTAAAGTCTGAACTTATAGAAGTATGAAATAAAGTATTAAATATTTCATAAAATGCTTTAAAATTCCTGTTTTAGTTTTGTGATTTTTATAATAGATAAATATCAATTTCAATTAAACTTAATTTTTTATCAAGCAAATATGGACCTAGAATGCTTTCTGTGGAGCACTGTTTCCTGCATTCTTTTCAATTAATCTTTTTCAATTAAAGTCCTTGCTCGATTTTCCTCAATTCTTTCCCTGGGTTTTGGGATAAAAAAAATGAGACAATGTGGGAAGAATGTAAAATAACTTTATTTCCTGATATCTTAGTCTCAGCATCTTTGTCCTAACATTATTCTTGGCAAGTTGGGAAGATTTGGAAGGTTGCTTTTATAATGAGTAAAGGCGCTGTCTTTATTCCATCATAGAGTTTAAGGTCCTTTCCCTATGTATTGACATACAGTGTATACTGAATCAGGGCTTGAAAAAAGCCATGCACTTTATTGATTCATCATGTAGAAAAAAATCTGTTAGGCCAGCCTGGTCTTATGTCCTTTGGCTAGAGTGATCAATGAAAAGGACAATGATTTCTGACTCGGGAAACTACTGCTCTAGCAGGAGGAAATGAAAAATGAGCATTGTGATTAGGTAAGTAATATTTTAACCCAAAAGAAAACAAAAAGAATACTGAGGGGGAAAGGAGAATGGCATAACAAAAATTGGAACATACTATCATCTTTTTCCTCATTATTAGACTGACACCTGACATATTTTATTTGTTTTCAAAGAGCAAGAGAGTGTGAAGGATCAAGTGGGAGAGAGATGTTGATCTTCCAGTTAACTCCCCAAAGGTCTACCATGACTAGGCTGGACTAGGCTAAAGCTGACCAGAAGTTCAGTCTAGGTCTCTCATGAGTGCCATGGAAACCATTGCTGCCTTGCTGAGTCTGCACTAGCAGGAAAACGGAGTGAGCAGCTGATTGTCAAACCCAGGCACTCCACTATCGGATACCGGTGTCATTCAACTGGTATATGCATTGCTAGGCTAAATACCTAGCCCCGCAGTCATTAAATGGTTGCTCAGGATGTTATAATTCAGGAAGTGATCTTCGATTAAAGAGTAGAAAGAAATCAGCTAGTCAGTGCTCTAGGCAAATCTCCAAGCTGAGAGAATGATTTATTTGTTCAATGAACAGCAATGAAAACTGCTGGTGGGACCGCAATGGAAAGAGGAGTAGAAATAGAGGAAGGGTAAGAAGCACAAAAAGGATCCAATCCATGGAATTGCCTCAAAGGCCCCAGGAAAGTATATATGTATTTTACTTTGAATGTAATGAGAAACTTATAGATTCCATCCTGCCTGTGATCTGATGTTTGCCTTAGAGGAGTTGCTTGCTTTGACAACTTTTTAAAAGTAGAGCCAAGTGTTCCTGGTGCACAGGTCACATGCATGTCTGGAGGTAGAGAGGAATCAAGGACGACCCTGAGCAGTGGCAGGACCAGAGAACCCACACTGGGAATTGTGAAGGCTACAGATGGAACAAGGTTTTAAGATCAGAAGAATAGCTTTACATATGTTCAATTTGTCCTATCTTCTAAACATGTAAACACAACATCAAGTAGCCAATAGAATAAAACCAATCTGGAATTCAAAAAGAGACTTGGTACAGAAAGAGAGAACTTCGGTTTGCTCTAGTGTGTGAAGGATACACTTATCCCAAGGAACGTGGAAGAGGACACAAGATGGCGCTCTGGGGCCCTCCAACGTGAAGGTACTGGGAATAAGGAAGCACTAACAAAAGAGGCACATCATGCCTAGTTCATCTAAAACTTGATCCCTTAAGTTGAAGATGATAGAGAAAACGATAAAAGAGAAGGGGAGAATGAGGGAATTAACACATAAGGCAAGTTGCATATAAAAAGTACCCTGTTGTATAGAGATTGAGAGACGACATGAGTATGTATGGATGGGAAATTAATTTCCTCAGGATGTGTGAAATTTAAAGCTTGTCTGATTTTTAAGATGCAGTTATACACACACAGATTGATTTAAAAGCCCTGTTGAAAACAGGTAATGCAAAATGCAGCATTTTATAAAAATCACATGTACTGAATATATTTATATGTGAAACATCTAAAAGTCTCAACACTTGTAAAATTATTCATTTATTACCTCTGTTCTTTCTGGAGAATTTTAATATTCTAACTGTTCTCTTTGCATGATGAATGCATATGAAAACTTTGCTGAATACTTTTTCTGAAGACATAAATACCTACTAAATCTCATGTCAGTTTATTGAGACACAAAACTTCTTTCTTTTCTAATTACTTGTTAGTACTACTGACAGCTAGTCACAGCAGATGCGAATTATTTATTTATCTTAACTAGGAGTGACTTGCAACTTTATTCCATGAGACAACCATAGAAAATATCTTCAAATATGAGTTGGATTTATCATCTGGATCAAAACCATCGCTGTTCAAAGTTAGATCTTCAACTCAGATTTATATAGAAACATTCTAGAAAGCCAGATATTGTTTCACTGAAAGCTTTTAATGACTCCTTCTCTCCATTGGGAGTGGACTATAACTGATGATCCCCCTCCTCTCCCGGGAGTATGCCACTTGCTCACCAGGGTAGGAGGAGATGGTGTTGATATGAGTGGTCCTGATAACGCCCACACGGGTGCCCCGGTTGTTCTTCATACACATGCAGATGCAAATGGCAATTCCGGCGATGACCCCCATGATGAATACGATCCCAAACACAATGCCAGCAATTGCAGTGCCTCTACAAAAGACAAAAAGTGCAGTGATGACTTTCTGATTCAACACTTTAAACCGCTAGCTTTACAAAAAAATATTATTTGAGAGGCAAAGAGACATAGCGAGTAGAGGGAAAGACATACCGAGTGGGAGAGAACTTCTGTCTACTGGTTTACTCTCCAAATGACTGCAATAGTCAGACTGGGCCAGGCCAAATCCAGGATCCAGCAATTCAATCCAGGTTAGGCAAATAAGGGGGAAGGACTGAAACTACCTGAGCCATCAACTGCTCCCTCCCGGGGTGCACATTACTAGGAAACTGAAATGAAGCACCTGATCTTGGACTGTTCGGCAGTCACTCCAAAGCTGGTGGAGACCCCCAAGAAGGAGCGTGAAGGCCGGTCACGTGCTTACTCAAAGCACACGTGTTAAAGAGTCTCACTAGGATGCCTGAGTCTTTCAAACAGAACTCTGTCACTCTATGACAAGTACTTCTTCACAAACGTTGTTACGGTTAATTCTTAACAATCAAGAACTTTCCCCAAATCAGTAACCAAGTTGCCTCTTGGATTCTAATAAACATTTATAAATCTTTAGGGATTTTTTTTCTAACACATTTGACCAATGCTTCATTCAGATTCTAGTTTCAAAAATTCACATTTTTAACAAAGCATAATTCATATATGCTATCTAAACGAATAATTAAAAATCCAGTCTGCTGGGTCCCGGCACAGTAGACTAGCAGCTAAAGTCCTCGCCTTGCATGTGCTGGGGTCCCATATGGGCACTGGCCAGGATCCCAGCAGCTCTACTTCCCATCCAGCTCCCTGCCTGTGGCCTGGGAAAGCAGTGGAGGTTGGCTCAAAGCTTTGGGGCCCTGCACTCATGTGGGAGATCCAGAAGAGGCTCTGGGCTCCTGGCTTCAGATCGTCACAGCTTCAGCCATTGAGGCCACTTGGGGAGTGAATCAGTGGATGGAAGATGGAAGATCTTCCTCTCTGACTATCCTCCTCTCTGTATATCTGCCTTTCAAAATTAAAAAAAAAATTAAAAAGCCATTCTGCTTTGTAAATAAAACAACTTTACTGAGCTTAGGAGTATGTGTGTTTAACAAAAATAACTGGATAAATGACAACATATAAAATACAACTTAATTATCTGTTTCTTATTCAAATTTTCCATGGATTGAGAATACTTGACACAGCAAAGAAAACTAAATCGAACATATTCTTTTATTATGCAGAGTACAGTTATGACAAATATTCTCACTCAATTAGGAACAATGTAAGCAAAACCTTTATTTATATTCATGATAATGGTCTTCTCTACAAGACTCCAGCTAATACAACAAAAGCATACAACAGAATAGAAAAACATATTGCATGAAGCAGTCAACAGTGTGCATATTTCTGAATAACAGGATTTATTGGCATCTGCATCCATTTATTTTTGAAAAGTAATGAGGAAAGTGTTCTCAAAATGAAAACTATGATCAGAGATCATTTAAAACTATGTTTCATAGGAAATATGGTGCACATGTGCACCAAAATTGTAACAAGAAATGTTCACCGAGGTGACAGGAAAAAGCACAAAGCATCCAAGAATAACTCATAGTATGATTTAAAAAGCTGGAGATCCAGTTAAATTATAGTGAAAAGTTGATGATGCATAGTTAACGTAATGAAGGAAAGATAAACCACCGATACTAACATAATTGCAGAGAGGGCAGAACTATATATGACTTTCTGTATCGATGTTATAATCAATAAGTAGTGATTATCTTGTGAATATAAATCTTTTTCTAACTTGCATGTTCAAGTCTTACAAATAGTCTATCCAGTAAATTGTGCCTTATTTCTCAATCTTACTACATTCCTTTTTACATTTTATCTATTCATTTCTAATGGTGTTTAGGGCTATAACCTCTCGGACAAACTTTGACATTGCCTAAATCAGTGATCAATATTAGTATTTCTGTGATATTGATGATAACGCTTACTTTTCTTTTCCCTTACCACTTCTGTAGTAAATTTTCAAACACTTATTATTAATCTCCTTCCTGCCAAAATCCTTATAAATGACTCACACAACTCTCAATCACTTTTCAGTACTCAAGCACAGTAGAAATAGTTCATCAGCTCAGTTCTGTCCCCTGTGACGGAACTCTTCCTTCACTCCATGGCCCACTGGACTCTCTGACTCTGAGCTGCTTCCCTTTGGATCAGCTCAGTGATTCTCAAACTTAATTGCCAGACTCCATTCTTGACATTTCGCTGTGAACTGCTGTGTTTTCTAAAGCAACTTTTTTCGTTAGTTGCTGTGTTTCCTGTGCTTTTTACGTGACATGCCTGAGTAGTTTCTGAAAGATGGGATCAAAATGGAGTCTTTCATTCCTTGTACACCTGAAATTGTTAGTCTTCTGCTAGATCATTTTGAGTGAGGATACTTGAAGTCACTTCCCATACAGTGTTTCATTTTCAGCCACAAAAACAGTTTCTCCAGCTTCGTTCTTGAATAGCATAACCCTTGCTGCCAGCTTCCTGGATCTGGGAGTTTTACTGTTACGAACAGTATTTACACAAAATCCTTGTGCTTCCAGCTGCCTGGTCCTGCTTCTCTCTCCTCAGTATTTGTTATCTTTTGGGGTTACGTGTGGCAGCTGAGAGGTGGAAGCCACAGAAACAAATCTGCAGGATATAAAAACCTGGTCTCTGGAGCTGGAACACCTCTGCTTCAATTGGAACTGGGCTTCCGTTTCCTTGGTTCCTTTCCTGCTTCCTTTCCAAGGACCTTAGCACGAGCCTTGTGCCTGTGGACGCATTTGCCATAAGACTAACTTCTTAGTCTCAGTGCTATCTGAATTAGTATATTAGGGCAGTTCCAGTACATCTCACTCCAATCCCTGGAGCTCAGGTACTTAGGTCAGAAATGTCCAGATTCTGGAATAAGATCAGCGAAAGGTCCTTCTAAGGGCAGCCAGAGTAGCACCCTGAGACTATTTGCACTTTTAATGTAACGCTGTGAATGTTATCGCTTAGGGTTTGCACAGAAGCCAGCAAAATAAAGACCAAGGCTTGCACACATCAATCTTGTCACCAAGTGAAATTCATGTGCAACTCTGAAACATCCAACATACTCTAACAGTGAAGGTGCAAAAAACATGCGTGAACTTACTTTTGTATTTTCCAGAAGATATTTTCTAGGAAACTGTGGTATACAGGCACTATGGAATGCTTCTCAGTCATTAAAAAAAAAGTAGAAATCCTGTCTTTTGCAACAAAATGGATGCAAGTAGGAACTATTATTAGCAAGTAAGCCAATTTCAAGAACACAAATATCATGTTTCCTATGATATGTGACAGCTAGTATATAACACACACATAAAAGTGTAAGAATGAAAGTCACTTTGGGATAGGATCATCATTTTTAGCCCAGATTGTAAACTGGTGGAAATACAGTTTTGTGGTTTGTTTACATTTTGTTTGTTGAATATTAGTGCTGGTGACAAGCCAATAAAGAGAGAATGAATTAAAATCGTGAGTGCCAATGATATAGAAGAGATGAAAGAGAGGTTGGGGAAATTTAGGGAGATGAGAAAAGTCTTCTTGGAACTGGACCTAGGTGTAGGCCCCGGTCTCCCAAGGGTTAACTCCACAGCTCAGCTGTTTCTCAAAGGTGTAACAGGAAGGGCAATCATGGCCTGATACATTTAGCCCCTGGCTTGACTGCAATTTCCCTCCTTCCTGCTTCCCATTTTTGCACGTCCTTGGGGGAGCTTAGGTGTTGCTTAACCATTGGGAAGATCCTGGGAGGGGCCAAGCAGACTATATAAGAGAGTTCGACTTTGAATCAAGACCTCTGTGTGTTGTGTGTGTTGTCTGTCTTGTCTGTCTCATAAACCTAGTCCCTCCGCTCGACTCGGGGCTGGAAGTACGTGGCGACGCGGGCGTTGCCAACACCTAGGGAATGCATAAAATCTGTTCTTATAATAATCAAAATTTTCAAAACCCTTTCCGCATTCACTTCAAAAAACACAGTATACCATAAAAATTTCAATAAATTCCCTTGAGAGATAGCCATAGTCATTTTCACTGAATTAAATTGAGAAGGCAAAATGTGAGACATATTTAGATGTGTTACTATTAATAATTAAAGAGTGGCAAGGTCTAGAAGACTAATGAATCTTTTCAAAAATGATTTATCAAAGGAGATGATTTGAAGTAATGAAACTAAAAATAAGAATTTTTATCATAATTTTCAGTTCCAAATAAGATGCAACTGGAGGGCTTAATTTATATTCTAGAAACAATCGATGGGCTAATTATGCAGCCATGGGGTGTCCAAAGGATGTGTTGTGCAAATTGTGAAATTTTCAAATCAGAGCATATTTATATTCATTAATTACATTTTTTTTTTAAAGAGTGAAGGAGAAATAAGCCACATTTTGTTTCCTTGTTGGCAGCTCTGGCAATCGTGCTTGATCTAGAGGTCACTAAAGAGCTTGCGACTAAATGTGTGAAATGAGGTTTTCAAACCGCATCATGACTCTGCTGTCCTTGATCCTCGGGTCCCATTTGTGGTTGTGACTTAGTTATAGCATTCATATCTGCTATTAATTAAATTAAACAATAAACAAAGAGCAACCTTTCTGCTTATAAATATGTTGGTGTAGTTAACTGTTAGAATGAGAGAAGCTTTTAGTTTGAGAAATTTGGCATCATGAAAATCTTGAAAATATTTTAACGTATGTGTTTTAATTTGAAGAATGCATTGTGGTGCGTGCATATTTCCTCTATGTTTAAAAGGATTCATTTATTTTTTCATTGGAGAGTCAGATGCACAGAAAGGAGGAGAGACCAAAGAGAAATATCTTCTGTCCACTCCCCAAGCCGCCACAACGGCCAGAGCTGTGCTGATCTGAAACCAGGAGCTCAGACCTCCTCCAGGTGTTCCACGTGGTTGCAGGGTCCCAAAGTCTTGGGCCATACTCTACTGCCTTTCCAGGCCACAAGCAGGGAGCTGGAT